AAACGTTAAAACGTTAAAACGTAAAACGTTAAAAGTAAACGTTAAACGTAACGTAACGTAACGTAACTAACGTAACTAACTAACTAACTAACTACTACTACTACTACTACTACTACTACTACTACTACTACTACTACTACTACTACTACTCTCTCTCTCTCTCTCTCTCTCTCTCTCTCTCTCTCTCTCTCTCTCTCTCTCTCTCAGATATCAAAAAAAACCCCTTCTCCCAAACCTCCAGCCTCTTCTCCCTTCCCCATGCGTTTTCTACACTTCTCTGCAAAAACCCACATCTTTCCTTCCTCTTTCCACACTTTTCGTTGCCTTTCTCTCCTCTGTAAAAGAACCCATTAACGCTCTGAAACCCAATTCCCTCTCTCTAACCCTTCATAAAAAATCTCCATTCTTGGTGCCTGATCCATTAATAGACCCTGGTTCACGGCAAGATCTGCAACTTTCTCCGACCACCTAATTGACTGAACATGAAAAATCTTTTCTCATTTTTTTCGACGAAATTTGGTAATTTTTCATGGACATTTGCATGCATGCACAACTCTTTCATGAAAAACAGTGAACCGAGAAAAAAATAAAGAGAAAAACCCAACTTTTATTATAGAAAATAAATGCGTAAAAAACTTGTATAAATCATGAAAAGAGAGAAAAAAATAACCACAAAAAAACTGTAGATTAAAGGCCTTTACAGAACGCACCCATTTCTGACTTTCAAAAAAAACCCAACTTTTTCAATTAAAAAATGCATGAATAATACTAAATGATTTTTTTTTTTCTGAACGATCACACCACTTAGGCACTTACCACCAAAGCACGCCACCCCTTCGAGAAATTCTTTTTCATCAGTTTTTGTAAAACTTAAAATTTAAGAGAATTTTTAAGCTCTAAAAATACGTATGCTGTATACGTACCTTTTAGTCAAAGCATACGACTTCACTTCCACAATACGAATTCGAAAAGTAGCGCTGCGCACTAAGCCGCGATGGCCGGGTTTGGACTTTGGACTACCCTTGAAGTGGCCGGGGCTGGACTAGCCCGGGCCTGAGCAAATTAGGGGTGGCAATGGCTCGGGTCCGGACCCAGACCCATACCCAAATAATATTCGGGTCCCAAATTTTGACCCATTCTCGAAACCATCAAGTCTTGGGTCTACCCATCATATCTCAGGTCTACCCATTGGGTCCATTGCCACTATATGACTATGAACGTTTGTTTTTTTTTTTTTTTTTTTTTTCTTTAATCATTATATACCCATACGATGAGCAACATTTAAAGTATTGTACAACATTTATGAATACCTACATATACCGACGTTGCTTACCATTTTACATAATAAATAGAAATTTCTAAAAAACAAACGTATTGGTAACATTTATGAATAACCACATAAAATATTCCTATATTATTCAAGTCGCGTCCGGCTAAACTCGGACCCGACTTTTTGGGTTTAAATTTTGGACCCATACCCAGACCCTAGATTGAGTCTACCCTTCAAGTCCATTGCCACCCCTAGAGCAAATCTTGGGTCAGTTAGGGCTACGGACTGGGCCGGGAGGTCAAGGAGCAAATCTTGTTGGGCCTAATCAAATTTTCGGTTGGCCTTTGGGTTGGCCTGAGCCGACTAAAGGAGAGAGATGCTAGAAATTTTATATAACTCACGGTCGTTTTTTAGTTCTAGGACTAGATATTTGTACCTATCTATTTTTTAGATGGCCTTTTGTTCTAATTTTTTAAAAATATGTATAATTTCTAACATAAAGAGCATGAATGTGTGAAAAATTAATAACTTTGAAAAAACTATAAATAATAACTTTTTGAATAAAATTTTTTAACCATAGACTTGTTTTCGAGAGACCAAAACTCAACTATCGGATTTGCGATGCCTCGTGAAACGCAAATATAGTTATGCGCCCCCATAAACCACTTTTCCTTTATATAAAGATACTTAGATATGGTTTCTTTGAGTCCTAGGACGCATATGTAGATATGCGTCCCCTACTAATTATACATTTTTTTGTGTAGATTTTGAATCTAATGTCTCTTTAGGTATATATTATCTCTAACGTGGAGGTCCCAGTTGTGTAAAAAAGGAAAGAAAATAAAAATTATATTATTGAAGAAATGTTTTAAAATTGGGTGTGGTTTCTACAAGGTTGCAACTTTAAACAATCCAATTAGGTGCACTTCCAAATTTTATCATAACATATAATTTTGCTGTAAATAATTATTAGGATTATCTGAAAATCTATTTTCATATCTAATTATAAAATTTTAAGTTCCAAAAATGGTTAAAATCAAGTAGATCTATAAACATATGAAAATCTTGAAAAATGGACGATCTAGATAACGTGTTGTAAGATGCATTATTTCCAGGACTCAAAATCCTTTTTTTTTGTAATATTCATATATGTCTATGTCGAGATGATCAAAGGGTTTTTCAACATTAAAACAACATTCTCCGATGGAATTTTGAGGTGCATCCATATTTCTACATTTTAAGACTGCAACATTATATAAACTTTTTCCTTTAAAATTTAAACCATTTTATTTTGCCATTTTTTGGAGAGACCACAACTACACCTTCATCTTTAAGATGGGCGTGTGAGGACGCATAAACCACTTTTCCAATATACTTTTATAGCATATACTTTTATATATTATATATAAGGGAATTTTATAAAACAGTACCTATGATATGAATTATTTATCAAATTAAAAATCATGAGTTGTAGTAGTTGATATTTTAGTAGTATTTTAATATTATAGTTATATTTTGATAAATAAACTAAACACTAAATAGTTGATGTTAAGCATATTTTGTTAGATTTTTTTTTTGAGATAAATATTCCTACTTTTATTAATAACTACAAAAAGGAAATTACATCATTAGAGACAACAAGTGAAGGTAAAGAGGCTCCACTCGTAGTAAAAGCATATGTCACATTGTACGCTTCACGATAAATATAGGAAAAGAGACTGACATAGTAGCTACGAGATTCATAATATAGAACCATAAAGACCGAAGTTCCTAAAGAACTTTCTGCTCCGTATTACACCATCTAATTACACTCATTGAATCCCCTTCAATCCAGCAGCTATTACCATGATTTCAATCAATGAAAATCTTCAAACCACGAAGCAAAGCACTAAGCTCGGCAAAGTTAGCGGTTGTATTACCTATCGGACCCACATAGGTAAATAAAATATTTCTAAAACAGTCACGCAGCATGCCACCAATCCTAGCTAAATCAAGGTTACCGGAAAAGCTTCCATCGAAATTGAGCTTTAAAGTTTCAGGTCAAGGCGCATTCCAGATACATCTCAGTCTACTGCTAGTACTACCAAGAAAGAAAATATTATTGAGATTGTCATGACATCTACCTGAGAGACACCCCATCCCACTTTTGTAACTGCTAGCCACAACCAAATCGAAAGTTTTATGATATGAATTAGTCTATTAAAAGAAATAGAATTCTCATCAAAAGTCATTCTATTTTTCTCCTTGCAAACCTCTCAAAGGATGACACTTTTTGCTATCTTCCAAATTACATTACACATCTTAGGCAAATGGGGTAGAGCCACTTGCGAAACTATCCCCCCACAAATTGAGGAAGCACCATATTTATCCCTAAAACACCAAACAGCCAGTGCCAAATTCTCACAGTAAATGGGCACTAGATAAATAAGTATGCACATATTTCACCATCAGATTTGCAAATACAAGCAAACATTTGGCATAACTTTTCCCCTTTTGGTGAAGTTATCAACAGTCAAAACTTTATTCTATGCAACCAACCAAATAAAGGGAAAGGTTTATATACTTTTCCTACAACATAGAAGATCTATGCTTCCCTTACCATCCAACCGTCCAATTTTGATCAAGAGAGCCACTCATCATTTGATCTTAGATCTGACGTCTCAAAGTATTTTATTTTTAATTTTTTTTATACAAAATGTATGAATATGCAATTTGGTATGTGTCATCTTCTCATTGGGGCGTACCTATAAAAAATATTAAAAATAAATTTTCAATAAAATATAATGACCAAAATACCCATTGAAGTTTTCAGGTGTATTTTGATCATTTATTTTTATTTTTATTTTTCGCTGGCGCGAGTTTAATAGAAGATTGGACATACAAAATTTGGTGTCAAAATAGTTTATAATAATAATAATAATAATAATAATAAAATAGTATAGAGACGTGACATTGTGATTGGGACAATCTTAGCCCTCCATTTAGAATGGACAGCTGGATAAAGGGAAGTATATAAGTTTTATGTTGTAGGAGAAGCATAAAAAGCTTGCCCCTAAATAAAAACTTGAACTTTGTGGGGAATCGGTCATTTTCAAATTTGAGCAATATGAGGACAATATCATCTCCAGCGGGTGTGAAAAAGAAGGTTATAACACTTTTTGACAAAAAAAACACCATCACTTTCGATCTCCCATATCATCTCATCATCAGCATTACGCGAAATATAGGCATTATCCAATAACTCCATCAATGCACACCATTGAGATAATAATACATTATTCAACCGGCTATAAACCAAGAAAATATTCCACAAAATAAGTTGACCCCTTCTTTCTACAACCTCACTGACTTTTAAATTAGGCCTAGCAATAATCCCAAATAACTCTAAGAAAACGTACTTTAACGGGTACTCCCCAATCCACTTATGGTGCCAAAAGGAAATTTGACTACCACAACCTAAGTTCCATCTAAAGTAACCCAAAATCATAGGACTATAATTAAATATAGCTCTCCACACATGATAAATATCATCACCTCTTCTACCCCCAAGCCAAAAATCATACCTATCCATTTCATACTTTAATAATAAAACTTGGTACCAAAGATGGTCATGCAGATGGAAACTGTGCCACCACCATTTGCATATCAGAGCTTGGTTAACCATTCGAATATTTTGAAAACCTAAACCTCATTCCCTCTTTGGGGTGCATACTCTATCCCATCTTAGTAAATAAATTTCCTTGTCTCACTACTGGAACCCCAAAGAAAGTCTCGCATCATTTTTTCAATTTTTTTTGCGACTAAAGCGGGCATATTAATCAAAAACATCTAATAAACTGAAAAATTAGCCAAACAAGATCTCAACAAAGTCACCCTCCCACCTAATGACAGATACTTATGCTTCCCCAACATTTGAAATTGGGATTGGCAGAGTGAATCAGGCTTCCAGAAATCATTTATGAATCTACAAATTGGATCGACTATCAAGTGTGGGAGTTGATCCATAAAATTAACAAAATTGAAAAAGGAATAATTTTAAAAATATAATGTGTGGGACTCGCCAATCCAGTCGGTCTTGATCACCCAATTCCCTAACGAAACCAAATGAATCATAGGAACCATACCTATTATGGGTTCCAACAATGAATCAAGACAGTGTAGACCGATTCAGTCCAAATTGCCGGGTTTTAAAACATTAAGTTCTCCTTGTATGTGACACACACAAAACAAGAGTACACCTGAGCTAGGCCGAGCCAAGTTGAGCCTAGGCTAGGGCCAGCTTGGCCCGATTAAAGCCAAGGGGGTAAGTGATACACACAAAACAAGAGTATGCATGAGCTAGAACCAACTTGGCTCGATTTAATTCCAGAGCCAACGTGGACTAGGCTCGATCATCAATGATAATTCAAATGTGGTTTTTGGCCCAAATTATAATGTGCTTCCGCTGGAGCAAGCTATATACTTGCTCCCTCATGTGACATAGCTACTTATGCACACGTATTATTGGGCTATGACAAT